TGAGCTGCGCACAGGTCTTTCAAATGTGCCCATAGGTAGGTCACGGTGTGCCAAGAGCATCACTTTGTACCGGTATCCTCTGATTTCCAACAAATGGAATTATTGACACTAAAAAGAGCGGAGGTGACATAACGAAGGTCCAGCAGGGTACAAAGACACTGAGAGATCCAACTGGATCTATATGTAAATCAGTTCAGACAGCAGCATTTGAGGTGTGAATCAAGTCTCAGGTAACTTGGCCAACGGGCTACTGAAGAATTCTAAGCATGCCATAAGCCAGGCTATTGTCTCCCTGTGAAGTGCTGTAGGAATTGATGTGCTGGATTACTAAGGTTAGTTCAGGGATCACATATCCACTGAACCCTGAAGCTTATTGGTTGACCTCAGTCTTTAAAGATTAATGTAAAGATTAAAAAAAAACAAAAAACCAGAGGTGTGAAGACTGCAACGACAACAGCTCTATATCTATGTAATCCCGATTTCCTTCCAGGGAAATTGTGAATAAATAAAAATGGCTGGGATAGAAATGAGGTGAGACATAAATTGACTCTCCATCCCTTTCTTCGCCTTTGGTTCCGTGTTTATACTATGACACATCTCATAAATATTTATACTATGAAATAGGAATACAAATGTCTCTTTCCGTGATAGGTAATTTAACAGAAGCCACTTCAAACCAGACTCTGCAAATTGAGGATTTTTATATTTTTTCCCCCTTACGTTTTCTTCTGAATTGGTTGATTTCCTGTTTTTTTTTAATCATTTCCGTTCCTCTCCTACTGTGTCAATGCAGCAGCTTATCCAGCTGCTATTGCTCGGAGAGAAGACATTCCTGCTCCTAGGAGTAGCTGAAGGAGAATAATTGCTTGCGCTCTCTTTTTTATGGAATGCTCCTAGGCAGTGACTAGACCTAGAGTTCCAAAGTCATTTGTTGTTGTCAGCTTTCTGGGAATGACTCTATTCGAGTCCTTATATAACAGGATAACAGAGTTGGAAGGGACTCTGAAGGTCTTCTAGTCCAACCCTCCCCCCTGCTCAGGCAGGAAACCCTATACCATTTCAGACAAACGGTTGTCCATATCTGGTACCAGCTTTTTGCAAGAAGAAGCCGTGTAGATACGTTGGGTTGAAAACCAATTTTCATAAATGCTGACGGTTGTGAGAGTTGTGATCCAGTAGATCTAAAAGGTGTCAGATTGAGGAAGGCCATTTCACGAGGAACACAATGTTGGCTATTGACGAAGGGCGTCTATGGAGATTCTCGATCGTCCAGGTCATAGTCATCTCAAGGATGCTTTTTCACAAGGCAACTGGACTTTCTTGTTTTTTCTTTGAAGACGTCTCACTTGTTGGATGAGAAACGGAACGTCTTCAAAGAAAACAAGAAAGTCCATTTGCTGTCAACGCTGCTAACATCGGATGTTCTTGCTTTGACAACATATGGACATGCAGCCTTTTTCTTTCTTGTGTTTTACTCTTAGAATTAGATGATACTGGGGGATGAGGAGGAATGTGATGGGAGTTAGTTAGACACAATAATATTGTAATAGTGTGTGAACTCAGGACTTTTGAAATAAGAGATGATAAGAAATGGTGGGTTGGAGAACAGGAGGGAAAGCCTGCATTTCAAACCAATTGGAGAATGTGATTTATGATTGTTAATTAGAGGAGAGAATTGTGTTTGATACTATGTGCTCAGGGGAGGGGAATCCAGATTTTGGCTTCGACCATGTACCTGCCGATGCTATGCAACTTGAATAAAGATTCTTTAAGGTAAACAATGCCTCGAAGTTCTTTGAAGAGTTTCATCTGTCGGAACCATGACATTAAGCCAAAATCTCCAAACTTTCCAAACTGTCTAGTGGTCCCGAGCCTCAGTCGCTGTCCCTAGACTTGGGGGATAAGCTGACAAAGATTCGGGGAAGATTTCATCATGGAGGAAGTTCTCGGAAGAGTTTCATCTGTTGGAACCATGATATTTGCCATATGAAAAAAGCATCTTCAGGATTGACGAAGGGCGTAACTCAGTCTAAAGGGACTTGCTATAAATGAAAATATCCCCCAAAATAGAGGAGAAAAATAAAAGAAGAGTTACGGCAAGATATTGAGCACATTCCCTATTGCTCTGATCAATTTCCCCAGCTACTTTTGACCCTCTGTCACAGTTGCTACACCTTTAATAGAGAATCATGCTAAGCAGAGGTGAAGGTTACTATAACATCAAAAGACTGGCTATCACGCTGGTTACTCTCTAGAAAACAAAAAAAATCTAAAGAGAACCCAAAGGCTGATGTTGAGAAATTCTCATTGAACTTTAGTAACTGTGAGAGGGATCTCGGAGTCCTAGTGGACAATCCCTTAAATATGAGCCAGCCGTGTGCTGCAGCTGCGAAAAAAGGCCAACACAGTGCTAGGCTGCATTAACAGAGGGATAGAATCAAGATCACGTGAAGTATTAATACCACTTTACAATGCCTTAGTAAGGCCACACTTGGAATACTGCATCCAGTTTTGGTCACCACGATGTAAAAAAGATGTCGAGACTCTAGAAAAAGTACAGAGAAGAGCAACAAAGATGATTAGGGGACTGGAGGCTAAAACATATAAGGAACGGCTGCTGGACTTGGGTCTGTCTAGTTTAATGAAGAGAAGGACGAGGGGGGACATGATAGCAGTCTTCCAGTATCTCAGGGGCTGCCCCAAAGAAGAGGGAGTCAAGCTATTCCCCAAAGTGCCTGAAGGCAGGACAAGAAGCAACGGATGGAAACTAATCAAGGAGAGAAGCAACCTAGAACTAAGGAGAAACTTCCTGACAGTGAGGACAATTAACCAGTGGAACCACCTGCCTCCAGAAGCGGTGAATGCTCCAACACTGGAAGTTTTTAAGAAGAGACTGAACAGCCATTTGTCTGAAATGGTGTAGGGTTTCCTGCCTGAGCAGGGGGTTGGACTCAATGACCTCCAAGGTCCCTTCCAACTTTATTATTATTATTATTATTATTATTATTATTATTATTATTATTATTATTATTATTATTATTATTATTATTATTATTATTATTATTATTAACTTTGGCAGCCTCATAAACCTCTTAGGACTTCAAGCATTCTTCGCACCCGACAATTATTCTCGGTAAGCATCATTCATTTTCAGCAAGTGCAATGCCAGCTACTGAAGTGAAGCTCCAATACTTTGTCCACCTAATGAGAAGTGAGGACTCCTTGGAGAAAGACCCCAATGATGGGAAAGATAGAAGGCAAAAGAAGGAGAAGGGGACGTCAGAGGTTGAGAGGGTTAGATAGTGTCCTCAACGCAATGAACGTGAACTTGGACAAACTCTGGGAGAAGCGGAGGGCAGCCGTGCTGTGGTCCATGGGGCCTTGAAGAGTCAAACCCAACTTTCCAACTGCACAACAATAACAAAAATAGCATCCTGTAGCATAGACCAGTGGTTCTCAACCTGTGGGTTGGGACCCCATTTGGGGTCGATCGACCATTTCACGGGGGTCGCCAAGCAAGGCTGTCCGCCATTTTTTTTGTCCGCCATTTTTTCCCCCTTTTCCGGCGGGTGCCTTACCTCCCTTGGGCTGGGCCAGCTGGTGGTCAGCCTGCTCCGTCTCTGCCGCTTGCCAGCTACGCCTCGGCCGGCGCAGGGGGCGGAACCACGCATGCACAGAGCTCCCGGGCAGGGAAAGTCCTCGACTTACGACCGGTTGGGTAGTCCTCGACTTACGACCGGTTTAGTCCTCGACTTACGACCGGTTTAGTCCTCGACTTACGACCGGTTGGGGTCGCGGCATTAAAAAGGTTGAGAACCACTGGCATAGACAGACTAGTGAGGCGTTTTTTTTTACTTCCTAAAAGGCCCAGTTGTACTTTTGGAAATCCTCTCCGTGCCTTGAGAAAACATGAAGGATAATACTCGGGTTTATTTTGAAAAGGAGAGATTTGTAAGGCAAACTTCCGGGCATTGTTCCAGAGCTTGGACATCTCCTGTCTGAAATACCACACGTGCATTTCTTTTTTTCATCATTTTTATCCGTCATGTTGCTCGCGGTTGGGACTTTAGAGGCTAATTTAAGAAATTGGAAGTTGACGGAATGAATCATCTATAGCCATCTATAAATGAATCTTCTGCAATCATTCATAACGAAGGGAGGAATTCCTCTCACATAGCAATTGTTTTGAAACAAAATCATTGGTACCCTGTCACCTGTTTTCACAATCCATGCGTTATACGCCTAAGACTGAAAATCAGGCTTGTCAGATGCTATATTTTTTTCTGTCCTGCTCTACGGAGTAGACGAGAGTTGGTCTCTGACCGAAGGCCACCTGAAGAGACTAGAAGCATTTGAAATGTGGATTTACAGGCGGCTGTTATGTCTAAGCTGTGTAGACA